CCGGGAAGAAAAGCTTTTTTTGAAAAACAAAGTTCATCACAGAATGCAGCAGACTCTCCTCTACCAGTCCATATTCAAATGAAAAAGATCTGAGACCTTGCTGAAAGTTCGCCTTGGTCGAACCTTATATTGACGATGATAGCTCTAATGCAGCATTTTAACAGATTCTGCAAGGAATTCCGCAATCTATAACAGATCTATGGCAGGTTTTGTGCACAACCATATTAGTTTCCGAGCAGAAGCAAAGCCAATTTCGTCAAAATGTGCGTATATGTTGAAGCTTTTCAGCAAATTCTGTGAAAGAAATTTCATAGAAAGCTCTCTCTCCGAAAAGGGATAATCTCTGACCTTACTCCTCTTCCTCCGGAGTAAGGTCAGTAAGGTCACCTCCTTCGATAGATAACCAATTGTTTTTAACTTGAGATAAAGCGAGAAACGTGAAGAATTCATCTGATTCAAAAGAATAAGAAACAAAAGAGACGTTTTTTAACAAAAATAGAAAAAAGGAAAAAAATCTAATAATGCAGAACGATCAAATATCTCTAAAAATGAATGAAATGAGAAAAGGACTATTGGAGGACCCTTAATGAACAATAAACCCGCGTAATGTGATAGTAATGTAGTAATCGTGAACAATAATTAAAATATATTCTCAATTAGCACAAGTTACTCTCAACGATCTGGTCCAAGGTAAGCTAACCATAGAGACGTTAATGACGTGTGATAACGAGTTCATTTTTGACGTCACTGACATACTGTTCAAAACATTTGACTAACGGATGTGTTTGGGACAAAGTTTTTTCGCATATTTCCAGTGCTCGTTCAAACGACTCTAGTGCGAGGCCGTAATCGTCTGGTCCGTTTGAACAATAACACATACCAATGTTTCCCATAGTTCGCGCAATGTCCGGATGATCTGCTGGCAATGCTTTTTCTTTTATTTTCAACGAACGTTGATAATGATCCAGCGCCTTCTCGTAGTCTGCCTGTTCAAAATAACAGTTGCCCATGTTGTTCAGCACAGCTGCAATGGATGGATGATCGGATGGCAGTGATTTATAGTTGATTTTCAGCGCTTTTTGGAGAAGTTCTATAGCTTTGGAAAACTCCTGCTGATGCCGATAAACATTTGCCAAATTTGTCAATGTTCCAGCGATATCGGTATGATTTTTTGTTAGCTGTTTACGATACAGTTTCAAAGCGTCAGAGAAGTTTTTCA